AGTCGATCTAGCCATGTCCGTCTGTCTGTCCGTCTGTCTGTTTCTACGCAAACTAGTCTCTCAGTTTTTGAGCTATCGATACAAAACTTTCGCAAAAGTCTTCTTTCTATTGCAGGTAGTATATATGTCGGAGCCGACCGGATCGGACAACTATATCTTATATATCCCATAGGAACAATCGGAAAAAAAAACTTTAAAAAATTCTAGCTTCGGTGTTTTTTTTAAATATTACCTTCTACTTTTGGGGATGTTATTTTTTAAATATTTCTGAATTTTGAATAAATTATTTAAAAAATCGGACTACTATATCATATAGCTGCCATAGGAACGATCGGAAAATTAATGGAAAAGTAATAGGAAATAAATTCAAGCTTCTTTGCTTTTTATTGTATTATCTTCTACTCTAGGATATGACTCTTTTTAAATATTTCCGAATTTCAATTTTAATTTAATCAAAATCGGACGACTATATCATATAGGTGCCATAGGAACGATCGGAAAATTAATGGAAAAGTAATAGGAAATAAATTCTAGCTTCTTTGGTTTTTATTGTATTATCTTCTAGTCTAGGATATGACTTTTTTTAAATATTTCCGAATTTCAATTTTAATTTGATCAAAATCGGACGACTATATCATATAGCTTTCATAGGAACGATCGGAAAAAAATATTAATATTTTGCACTTAATTTGCAAATAATTATTTCGTCCGAGTTGCACAAATTTTCTGCATCAAATGACTACAGCAGCTTGCGCAAGCTCTAGTATGTATTCCAAACGCAGCGAACTTAATTTTTGGACTTCCCCGAATTAGAAAAAACGCAAAACCGAGTCACTTACCCGTCTGGAGGCGGTCTTGGGCACTAGAGGGTTAAAAATATATACAGTGGCGGACAAAAGTCTACGACCCCCTTTTTTGGGAGTTTACCCATTCCTATTGCATTTACGGGTAAAGTAATGTAAAGTAAATTTCTTAGCCCCAATCCTCAAATTGCTGGCTGTTTTTCTTTCATTTAATAGTTTAAATTGTAAATGAAGCATTGAGTACAAAAAAGTGTCACTTATTTGCATTCCTATAGGGGGCTGTCTATAGACATTACGTATATATTACGTAATCACAATTTCGGCGATTTTTGATTTACAATACAAAAAATTTGAACTACAGTAATTATTTGGTGGACACCTAGCAGCAAAAAAAAGTGACTTTTTTGAGCTCCTGCTTAAAATAACAGAAAAAAAAATACTTTTTTGTCCTTTTTTGTATTATTTTGGAAAATTATCCATCTAACTAGAATCAAATATCAGTGCAAAATCACATAGAAATTTGTTTTTATCAAGTTTCATGCTTTTTGGCTTGGTTGACATCCCCAGAGAATTGCCCATATGCTGAAACTTTCTCTAACGCTTTACATAGTAAATTCCTACGTAAAAAGACAAGGGAAATTCAGAAAGTCGCGTTCGGGCATGAAAAAAATTGAATTGTTGATATAGATAAGCACGATAATCTAACTATTGGAAAATTGGAAATGGATAAACGAGAAACTCAAATTATAGGAATCTTATAAGTTTTCTTACTTGTGCGCATCATAAGCTGAGGTCTTTCAGAATTAAAATTTGAGCATTTTACTGCTGTTCAAGTGACAGGAATTGTTCCCCTGAAATATTTATACCCGTTACTCGTAGAGAAAAAGGTTACGTTTTTACCATATACCAAATTATAACACCAGCGGAACAATTTTGTTTCGATCTGGCACTTTTGGGTTTCAGACATTAATTACATTTAAAAATGCAAAAAAAAAAATGCATTAATAAAAAAATTAGTTCGTTTATTCAAGTTTAAAATATTTTTTATCGCTATTAGCAAAAAAGAGCCAAACTCAATAAAAATGGGACAAAGAGCCAAATCTGGCAACCGTGCCTATAAAGTATATATATTCTTAATCAGGGTCACTAGCCGTCTGTCTGTCAGTCCGTATGAACGCTGAGATATCGGAAACTACAAAAGCTAAAAGGTTGAGATTTCCCACACGTATTTATGGGCTTCCCACGCAGCGCAAGTTTATTTGGGATGTTTCATTTAAGTTTAAGATTTTTTGGATCTGTAGACCTTTATATGATAATGCCTATAAGTAAAAGAAATGTTAGGCAAATCAATAATGTGACACAAAAAAAGGTGTTCCGTTTGTAAAAGAAAAGCCCATTTATGTATGAAATTATGTCAATATCGAAGTTTTTTCAGCACTGCGTCATATTCCCATAGAATATAGCCATTTAGCGCAGGGACCGAAAATAATGATTATTTTTTTTGAGTAAAAAATAAAAATCTCCAATTGATTATTGTGTAAGCGAAAAAAAATATCGCTCAGAAATAATGATTATTTTGTGAGCGATATATTTCGCTCAAAAATATCACTCAAAGTGTGATTGCATCCGACCTACGCGGAATTTTACAATTATTTAAATTGACACTTGTAGGTAGAACCACGAAGCACATATCCAGCTAAGAAAAAAAATAAATTTTGTTTGTATAAACCGCTTAAAAAGCGGTTGACTTTTGTATAAACAAGAAAGAAAGCTAGCTTCGGCCAGCCGAAGCTATTAACTTACAAATCGCAAAAATTTTAGATTTCGTGTTATTTTAATATTATTTTTTCTATCCTTCCCTATTGCAGCTATATAATATAGTCGTCCGATTTTTGTTAAATTTAATTCAAAAGTATAAGAGAATACAATAAAAACCAACGGAACTATAATTTGTTTCCAATTAATTTCCCATTAATTTTTCGATCGTTCCTATGGCAGCTATATGATAGCTGATGATAGTCGTCCGATTTTGATAAAATGAAAATTGAAATTCGGAAATATTTAATAAGAGTCATGTTCTAAAGTAGAAGAGAATACAATAAAAACCAAAAAAGCTAAAATTTATTTCTTTGTAACTTTCCCATTAATTTTCCGATCGTTCCTATGGCAGCTATATGATATAGTCGTCCGATTTTTAAAATATTTTATTCAAAATTTTGAAATATTTAAAAAATAATATTTCCAAGAGTAGAAGGTTTTTTTTTCCTATGGGAGCTATAAGATATAGTTATCCGATCCGGTTGGTTCCGACTTATATACTACCTGCAATAGAAAGAAGACTTTTGGGAAAGTTTCATCGCGATAGCTTCAAAACTGAGAGACTAGTTTGCGTAGAAACGGACGGACAGACGGACAGACGGACGGACATGGCTAGATCGATTCGTCTAGTGATGCTGATCAAGAATATATATACTTTATGGGGTCGGAAACGTCTCCTTCACTGCGTTGCAAACTTCTGACTGAAATCATAATACCCTCTGCAAGGGTATAAAAACAAATTTTCTCTGGGAATCGAACTCGTGCTTACAGCTCGGCGGACCAAGACACTAACACCCAGCCCACATGTCGGGCAGAAATTTCAAACTTTGTAAAATTGCGTACAGAACGGCTGCAATCGCACTTTGAGTGATATTTTTAAGCGAAAAAATATCGCTCACATAATAATTATTATTTCTGAGCGATATTTTTTTATTCACATAATAATTATTATTTCTGAGCGATATTTTTTTTCTTACAAAATAATCAATTAATGGAGATTTTGTTGAAATGCTAGACTATTGAATTATAAACTCAACTTCTAAAAACAAGAGAGAACGCTATAGTCGGGTGCCCCGACTATCAGATACCCGTTACTCAGCTAAAGGAAGTGCGAAGGAGATGGAGATAAAACTTTGATCCGCCGTAACTTTTTAACGAATGGTCCGATTTAAAAAATTTCTTCTACATTTCGATAGGTATTGATAAACACCATAAAACTGCATTTTTACTTTTCTGAAATATTGAAATTTTTAAAATCGTATATAAGCGATTGTGGGCGTTAGAGGGGGCGTGGAACCCTTTTGAAACAAACTTGCGCTGCGTAGGAACTCCTAGAATCTGCATGCAAAATGTCAATCTTCTAGCTTTTAAAGTTTCCGAGATCTCAGCGTTCATACAGACAGACAGACGGACAGACGCACAGACAGACGGACAGACGGACATGGCTAGATCGACTCGGCTAGTGATCCTGATCAAGAATATATATAGTTTATAGGGTCGGAAACGCTTCCTTCTACCTGTTACATACTTTTGCACGAATCTAGTATACCCTTTTACTCTTCGAGTTACGGGTATAATGACCTCGAGCCCGCTAAAACGTACTCAATAGTAAACATAGGTCGATTAAAATCACTAATTAAAATCACTAATTAATGTAAAATAAACTATATAATAGTCAAAAATCTCCCAACCAATAAAAAAGGCCCAAAAACATAAGAAATAGTTGTTAGCCGAAAAAATTGTTTTTCAACTATTTCAATTGTTGTTTTAAGATATAGTGGTCCGATCCGGCTCGCTCCGACATATGTACTACCTGCAATAGAAAGAAGACCTTCGGGAAAGTTTCATCGCGATAGCTTTAAAACTGAGAGACTAGTTCGCATAGAAACGGACAGACGGACATGGCTAGATAGTCTTTAAATAGTTTCATTTTTATTTGTTATATTAATTATATTCAAGTATTTTATAGACACCTTCATTTCTTAGTAAGAAGAAGAAATTCTTACTACTCTTTTTCTGTTTTGCTGCGCTGCGGGGGCTACAAAACGTTAATTTTTATTAGGCCGCAAAAAGTGCCTTAAAATGGAAAATTTTTAATTTCTTTGAAATCTGTGGCGTTTGGTCTTGGGACTGGTTCCGAATTAAATAGGTAGTATATAATAGAACTAGCTATGTCCGGAGCGACTTCGTTCACTTAAAATAAGTCTGGAGTACGATTGACGAGTTCGATTTGATACCTTAACAGCTGCCGGATACGGCTAGATCGACTAGTCTAGTGATGCTGATAAAGAATAAATATACTTTATGGGGAAGGAAATGTCTCCTTTACTTCCTGCAACCTTTAGCCAAAAATTATAATACCCTCTTCTTTTATTTTAGGTATCGTTTCGCAGTTCGACCAGCGGGTATTCCAAGACTGCTGCCACTGTAACGACAGGATCGATGACGACAACAGGAACACAGGGGCAAAGCCAACGTGCCCAAGTGGAGAGCTATAAAAGTTTTTACGAAACGAATTTATAGGTAAAGTCGCCTTAATAGGCCGATGGCTGTACTTACTGTGCATTTTCTTTATAATGTAAATATTTATAATGCATATGTATATAATTTAGCGAGGCGCTTTATTCTATTAGATAAGAAAGATAAAGGAACGGAGTAAGACAGATGACTTATTGCAGTACGAGTTGTCTATGCAGCGCAGACAAGTATACCTTGCGTGGCTTGATCTACTAAGGCATATTTCGCACATGAGCACTTTCTCTCTCCATGCTTAGACCAATTGTTCCTAACCAAAATTATTGTACACTGCAATCTAGCTTGCTTAGATTGTTGAAGTATTAAAACGTGATAATTGCACTAATTAATATGCATATTTTTAAGTTTATAACTATGTAAATTGTACGTCTTATTGTAAAAATTATTATTTTTTAATCAGACCAATAAAGAACCAGGTTTGATTTAAGAGTCGTTTAATTGTAAAATTTACAGTCGTTCATCACGTGGTATCGACAGCCTCATCTTGGGATCCGTGATACTGAGAAGGGGCTCTTAGGTCTGCTGGGGGTCTGATATAGCTGACATCAAGCACACAAAACTTGGCCCGGCACATTGGGCAGGTGCACTTTTGTTCCAGCCACACCTCGCGATCCACGTCGGTTTGGCGAGCGGCGAACCACCGTGCCAGACACTCCACGCACCACATAGGTCGACAGTAACAGTTCGAACAGCACGACCCTTCCGCAAGGGGAGCGCCATTGCGATCCAAGTCTGCACATTGTTTGTGAATCTTAGTGTTAGGTTCGTTTAGCATGCAGGCGAAACACTTATCTGTAGTGGCGTCCGCCTGAAAAATGGGATTTAGAGCAACTTGCGTTTTAAACACGTCCACAAAGCGGTCGATGACATTTCGGTGGAACTGGATATTGGAGGGAATTGCGATGGGGCGCCGAACACGGTCCTCTAGGTTCCTAAACTCCAAAGCATTAATACGTATGTGGAAGTCACTCACGCCCTGCCTCATAGGTCGCACAATAATGCTAATCATCTGCAGAGTGTCGTTCTGGTCATGATGCGAAATGTTGTATGTCTCCGCCTGCAAAAAAAGATATTTTTACTAGACACCGATCAAGGACTCGGCCGTAACTGACCTTAGCTACGCTAAGCGACGTGTTGCTTTGATGAGCAAAATGGACATTGTACATAGTGGTTTTGATTATCCAGTTCTGGGTGGCAATCACAGTGCTTATAGAGTTAAGTTTTTTTTTGTAAATTTCAGGTCGTCGAAACTCAGTGCCAATGTCGCTGGCCACGGCATTATAGCTGCCCGGCGAGTTGGAGTACTTCGAAAGGGCCTTGCTGATGGGGTGCCGGCGCCAGTTCTGCTGATGCCAGTTGAATATGAGGGCGGGAACGGCTAGAACGGCCAGCACACTAAACCGCTGGGCGGTCTTCCACGTTAGCGTTTTAAAGGCCACCGCCTCCTGGGGCATTGGGAAATCTGGGTCGAGATCGGAGTCCTCCAGAGGCTCCTGCGTGGCGAAAACGGAGAACTTCAGTCTGTGGATAAGAAAGTAGGAGAATGGCAGGCAGGAGTGCACGAAGAGGTTCAGCGATGTGCGTCGCAAATGGTAGCCCACAAAGTCTAGGTACTCCTCGCCCAGAAACCGAGCGAACAACTGTTCGATGGTGAGGCCGAGGCGCTGGAACTCCTCTGGGGGGTAGATAATGACCATGCACAGCAGGAAGTAGAAGAGATTAAACAGTAGTTCCGACTCGTCCATATTGCGAATAATTTTGGATTTGTTGATTTGACGAATGACCTAGGTGTCTACTAAAATATGTCCCTGTTTGTTGTTATTCATATGCACAGACCATCGATTACATTATCAATCTTATCGATAGTTAAGTGAGCCCGGAAGCATCGATATGCTTGCCGCTGTCTATTGACTAAATATAGTTTTGCGCGGCTTCGATAGCTAGCTTAAAGTTTGTTTTTATTATTTATTTTGAAACAAGAAAGAATATAACTTCGACAGCCCATATAAACATATACCTCTGGAGTTGAAATAAAGGTAATTCTCTAGAAGAGACTCATCCTTAAAATTCGCAAATAGAAGTACCAAAAGACTGATACCATCCAACAATGGAATTGGCCGCGTTCAGCAGAACAACATGATCACTGATCATTGATGGATTTCTTACGATAGTTCTGCTGAACGCACATGATCACTGATCATGATGCAAGAATTTTGCATCATTCGGTGGAATTCTTTATAATTGTTCAGCAATTTTTGATTTTTATGTATCCACGATAGCTGTGAGCAGTGCTGCAGTTGCGGGGGCGGAAAAAATATATATTTTCAAAATTGCGCGCGCAATATTTGTTATATATTTTACTTTTACGTCGTCGAAATGTATCATGAGCGTTCAGCAGAACAAACTTTATTACTGATTACTGATCCACCAACTTTTAGTAAATTGATCAACGAATTTTATTTTAAGGAATGAACTAATATGTGGATCGCACTCAAAGGCACTTGAAAAGCAACGCACTCATTTGCTAAAAAAAGCCGACTTTTTCCAAACTACATATAGCTCGTCTTCTTGGTCAAATTCTAACTACCCTAATCCCTTAAGGGCCGTTTTCTCGTCCTGCATGTACAAATTTTTTAGCGAAGGGATTTGTAGTTGGCTAATTCTATAAAAATCCTCTCTTTCGTCTGTAAATTTTGTATTTTATTTAAAAGTAACATATGAGTGATTCTTTGTGAAACGTATCGAGATTTTCTTAATGCTATCAAAACGTTATCTCATTTTTATCACGATATTACACCATTTAAATATTATTTTTAAAAAAGTAAAAAAAAAAATCTATTCGACAAAAGCGAGGACATGGCGATGCTTTATTTTTGATTATTTTATTTATAACTGTAAATTACGCGGGGTAAAACATAAATAAAAATACTCAAAAATGATTATTTTTGACAACACCCATAACACAGGTACACAGCCAAAAATTTCCACGAACCATTTCAAGTTTTCCATGATATTTGGGTGCTCCTGAGTAAAAGTCCCATACAAAATTATTTTCCATCACCTACAGGTTCCGCGGTATAGCTAAAAATACAAAAAACCGATGTTTGCCGACATTTTGAATTACGTGGCCTATATAATTGGACCAACCTTTATTATTTTCGGTAGGACCTACTCTCAATACATCAAGGCATTCCTAAAAAATAGTCCCCATTGTGAACCATTGCCCATGTCTTTGGAATTCGACGCCAAAGTTGAAAATCCCAAAATTGTAGAGATTTTTCTGATGGAAAAACAATTCTGAGGATTAAATCTTGAATGGAAGTAATTTTAACTATTAATTGTATCTATTGTTCATTGTATGCTTTAATTTCGGTTTACAGCGTTTTCATGAGAACATTTTATTGGATTTCTTATACTAATAAAACCGATTTTTTTATTTCATTATCTACTCCTAAATGTTGTCAAATTTTGAATAAGTCATGGCAACCTCTAAAACTAAGAAACTAAAATACGTTCACTGAACATACACAGAGAAATGTAAATGTTTACTCCCATTCTGTAGGATGCCTTGACTTTTTTAAAATTTGACAACATTTAGGAGTAGATAACTATGCCAAAAGTCCTTCCCAAGGGTCGAGAAAAGTTTTTACTTGGCAACAACAACAAAGGGCATTGTATCCATGTAAAGTTAACTTTAAATTGTTGGTAAACAAAAGGGTAGTCATGCCAAATTAAAAAAAAAAAATTATTGGCCACTATGTTAATTTATTCGATTTTTTTGTCAACTGGTTGAAATAAGCTGTGGCCTTTTTTTTGGGCTTTTTTTGTAATTAATTCATAAAAAATATTTGTAAAATATTTAAAAAATCATAACATTATTATACACTAATGTGTATCATCATAGATGTATTCTGCGTTTAAATTATTTTGATAACATGTTTTGTTTAGTTTTTATGGGCTGTTAAAGTTTTTGATGTAGACTGGTTGAAATAAGCTGTGAGCCACTGTACAGGGGTGGTCAAAAGTATTTTCACAAATGTTAATGTTAACTGTACTTATATTTTGAACTTATAATATAAACTTTTGGCACCTATAGAAAGAGCACTTCAATTCCGTTTAAATGACACAAAAATTTTCTTAACCCATTAAGACCCCTTTGAAAAGTGAGCAAATTTTTCGAAATTCAAATTTTCAACTTTTTTCCTGGGGCTTAAAACAAAAATGTTTTGATGCAAAGTTGTTCCCCAATCAAAATTAATAATCCCTTCCAAAAAAAAATTTTTTAAAATATTTTTCTTGTATTTTTTATGATTTTTTGAATGGAGACCTCTTAGTAAAATTTTGTATGAAAAGGAAGAAAAAGCGGCAAAAATAGCTATTTTCAAAGAATCATATAAAATACAAGGAAAAATATTTTGAAATTTTTTTTTTTTGCAGTTATTATTAATTTTGATTGGGGAACAACTTTGCATCAAAACATTTTTCTTTTAAGCCCCAGAAAAAAAGTTGAAAATTTGACTTTCGAAAACAATTGTCTAATTTGCCCACTTTTCAAAGGGTGCTTAATGGGTTAAGAAAATTTTTGTGTCATTTAAACGGAATTGAAGTGCTCTTTCCATAGGTGCCAAAATGTTTATATTATAAGTTCAAAATATGAGTACAGTTAACATTCAAATTTGTGAAAATACTTTTGACTAGGGTTGTATATCTCAGCTAGTCGCAAAGTTTTCGTAGCGATCAGAACGGTTCGTTACAACATTATTAAAAATGTTTAACAAGGAAAGACTGCTTTGTTTTTTATTGTTTCATTCCATTATGCAGAAAGTAATGGAGGTCCCATGTCGAAACTTTGAGTGGCCAACAAGGATTATGCATAGAACATTATACTATTTTTTCATAAATATTAAAAATGCCGATTTGAAGAATACCGCGATTGTAAATATTTTTTTTAAGTTTGGACCATACTTTGCACTGGAACCATTATGGGTGTTATTTTTATCTGAAAGCTTGTCAAAAATAATGATTTTTCAGTATTTTTATTTATGTTTTATCCCGCGTAATTTACAGTTATAAATAAAATAATCAAAAATAAAGCATCGCCATATCTTCGCTTCTGTCAAATAGATTTTTTTTTACTTTTTTAAAAATCCTATTTAAATGGTGTAATATCGTAATAAAAATGAGATATCGCTTTGAGGCCATTAAGATAATCTCGATACGTTTCACAAAGAATCACTCATATGTTGATTGTATAATATGATGGAGTGCTTCACAGCAATTGACTTAAAATTCTGTTAATGTTAGAGCCCTAAACTACGAAAATACCACAGGTTTTTTAAAGATTATTTAAAGTTTAAATTGTTAAATTTCGGACTTTTTTCGAATTTCTTCCTATATCTCGGCACAAACCCACCCAATTAAATCAGTTTTCGTTTCATTTTAAAGTCAATAGATTGGAGCTTAACTTTGCCATGGCAGCGCAAGCTCGACAACGATGAAAATGTGTTTTTTGGTCCACTGTAAGTCGGCGGAATATATATCGTAAAAACTCAAAATAAATCGGTTAAAAAATCATTATGGGTACATCCTACCGAATAAAACAAGCCGAGTATGGCCCAAATCCCTGGAAAATTGAATTTATGGTGGATTTTTAAAGTTCGTATTCTTCAACTTTTTTCGGTCGACAGAGTTCAAATTTAAGTTTTATCCCAGCGACATGTAAACAAAAATGAGTGGCGACGGCAGCTGGTCCAATTGGGTGGATATTTAAAAAATTTTTAAAAAAAACTTTGCTATCGAAATACAAAATTAGTGGTATTTTCGTGATATAGGGCTCCAGCACTAACAGAATTTGCAATCAATTGCTGTGGAGCATTTTGGCTGTAAACTAGTGTTTTAAATACCCTAGCTCTGTATAAACGTTTAAGGCAGTATGTTCAACACAGAAAAAACACAGCTGATGAAAACCAATTTTTGTTTAAGTATATTTATACTAGAAAATTATAGAATATTTTGTAAGTTATACAAAATTTGTTAGAATCGGTTATTTGGTTACATACATATGGCGTTTTCAAAACGGAAATATTTGATATTGCCGCATTTGTCATGGACTGGTATCAATAGCCGTGATATGGACTACAAAAAATAGTATGTCGAAAGCTTGCCCTGAATCTTAGATTCTAGTTGGACCTTATGCAGTAAGCGACATTAAAGTAGGTGTCGATATCGACAAAAATATAAATACACAAGTATGTTGGTTGTACAAACATAACTTAAGCTTAGGTGTCTGGTTCGTGGAAATTACTCAACGTAGACGGGCTTCAATTCACCTACTGCTGCAGCTCACTCAAGTTCGGAATGTTGCAAGCATAATCGTCATTTGACGTCGAGCTGGAGTCGTTAGTCAGCTCGAAGCTGTTGTCTCCGCTGGTACCAGTGACCGTTGTTAGGCTGGAGTCATTGTTTGAGTTCTGCTGCTCTGAGTTGCTCAGATTAGGCAGGGATGTATCCGCGAACTCTCCTTCCCCCTCTCCATCATCATCGACGTCGTCATCATCGTTGCTCAAACTGCTAGTGCTGCTGCTGCTTTCTGGGCGCGAGGTCTCCCCATTTTCATTATTTATATTTAAAGCGCTTATCATTGGCAAATTGTTCGAGTTTGCTGGCGGCGTCTCAGAAGCATCAGTTGTACGTGAGCTTATTTCTGCAGAATTATCAATTAAAAGCGTTATTCGCGGTATGTTTGGCGGTTCCATTGAGCTGGATGGGTTTCTTGGGCTATCCAACAAATTTGTCGTTGAATCACCAGAGCTAGCAATGAGTATAGACAGATTGGGAATGTTGTGGGGGCGCGGCTGCGGCACCGGTTCCTGTATTTGTTCGCTGGGATTGAGAATTGTCAGATTGGGTACGTTCGGTGTGGTTGCCGAAGAGGTTACGGTCGGGGCGACGGAGCTGGGGTTTGCCGAGGCTCTTGGAGGGCGCCGAGGGGGAGCTACGGGAGGTGCATCTCCGGATGACTGCGGCACACTTTTTTCCCGAGTCACCATGTGTTTGTCGAAGGTGTCTAGGTTCAGGCCAACACTTCCCTGAGCAGCCGCCTCAAGGGTGGCTGTTCTTGGCTGGTAGCTGGAACTTAGGCCGTCGTTGTCCACGTCCATGTCTTCATCCAGAAGCTCCAGGCTTATAATCGCCCCCGGACCGTCCACCGGGCGAGCAGGAGCAGATTCTAGGGCAGCCAGAAACTACAGTTTTGGTTTAAGGAAACTAAAGTCAGACTCACCATTCAGGAAATCCAGTGCCACAAAGTCCGCTGCGCTGAAGAGCTCCGCCTGCACCAGCAGTTGAAGCAGCACCCCTACTGTGGGACGCTCGTTGAGCTTGCCCGAGGTCTTCCACTCGTCGATCAGCATCTGGGACTTGCTTTGGTCCGGCGACAGTCGGTTTGCGGCCTCATCAATCTGAAATACGTCCTGCGCCGTGTACTTGAATCCTTTCTTGACGGCCGTCGCAAAGTTTAGAGATCCAGCAGCGCTGCAGGCCTGCACATCCATGCCCTTGGGTATGATCGACATAAGCTTGCGCCAGCAGGCGTTCTCGTCCAGAATTTTCGCAAGCCGGTAGATGTCGTTGTCCTCGACGCGTCGCAGTTCCGTGCTGCGGGAGTACTTTGAGGAACTGCGTCCGTTCATCTGCCCTGCTATTTCGCAGCCATTCCAGCCGTTTGCCTTGGCCATGGTGCTCACTTAGCTACCAGTTCTCTTTATGGGAGGGCGTGTGCCTTGGGCAGGTCGATAGTTCAAGTTTCCAGATCTCCAATTTGGATGGATGTGCGTTATAAAACCATGTTTGCTACTCTAGGCTTATTTTTTTTTTTTTTTTTTTGGCTTTGTTTTCAGCAATGCTTGCTGATAGTGATGGTCGCACGACGTGTGCATATGACCAGATACGATATATCGGGATAGTATCGCATGGATGCTTCCCGAACAGCGGGGTTGGCCGGTGGCAAATCCACGAATTACCTTTCTACATGGATATAATTAACGTTAAATAAAAATTACCTACAAGTTGATTTGTGCTTCATTAATAAATTTTGCAACTTCTCTATAAAAAAGCTGCTCTTTTGATAAAATGAGATCTGAAATATTAAAGAAACGATTAAAGATTTTATATTTTCTTCTGATCAAGATATGTCTTTGGCAGTTAAAAATTTGGTGATTAGCATCGTCGATCAGATTACATAAGGCACAAAGATTGCTGTCAATTGCCTTAATACGAAACAGAAAACAATTGTCATATGTAGACTCAGTCATTAATCTATTAATCAATTTAATGTCTTTTGCCTTCCATTTAAGTTTTATGTGCCACGGAATAATTGATAATGTAGGATAAGTCTTCGCAAAGATGCCTCCATCCTCCCTTGCTAATCTTTCGTACTCAGATCCCCATTCTTTCCAAATCTCTTGATTTAGCAATCTTTTAGCTTCACCTATACTAAGTTTGTAATCAATATCAGTGCCATCATAAACGGCCTGTTTAGCTAAAAAATCAGCCTTTTCGTTTAAGTCTAGAGACATATGACCAGGTATCCACTGCAGGTAGCATGAGGATATACACGAAATACTAAGAAGATTATGAATATCAGATACTGTGTTATTATCACAGTTTTTGTTACGTAGTACCATAAGCGCGCCCTTACTATCTGTAAGTATGGCCACCTTCCTCCAGTTAGATTTAATAGCTAAGATACAACCTTGTTTAATTGCTAAGAGTTCAGCCTGAACCGAGCTCATTCTATTCTCTATTTTGTACATTTCATTACTCCTATCACAGATAGCGGCTATGCCGAGTCCTGTGCACGAGCTTGTGACAGAGGCATCCGTGGATATGATATTGTAATCATTCTGCCTGAAATAACTGATCAATTCACTGTATCTACCTTTGGCCTCCTCTTTTGCAATATCCTTTTTGTTGTTAGACGAAAAATTTAGTTGGATAACAATATTCTTAAAATACGTATAATGATCTGCAATTTGTATTCTGTCAATGATAAGTTTGAGTGAATCATAGACTACCTTATAGCTGGTTTTAATCTTAGAATTAATAATTGTATTAAATCTGTTAACATCGATTGTTTTAAGCTTAATGAGTTCCTTAGCAGTCAAGATTTTAGCTCTATAACAAGGCGGGATAACACCAGCTAAAGCAAAAACCATAAATTTTGGGGTAAAAGGATTTACTCCAACACATCTTCTGAGAGATTTTGCCTGTGTAATGAACAACTGTTTACTGGAAGACTTTGTAAGATTACCATATGAGGTGAGTGCGTACTCATTCTTTGACCTAATAAAGGTCTTAAAAATGTTAGTCGCAACTTTTGGTCTTAAACCTGACTTAATTGTGGTTGCTAAGTTTAAAATTTGCATCGCATTATTATTATCACCTTTGATTTTTTTAACTTGTTCAATCTGGGAACCGTTGGACGAGATTATCCTACCGAGTAACTTTGTATTCCTCACTTGCCTAATAACTCCACTAGTTGCTTGAATGTTAAGAGTTCTACTATTTCCGTTGCACATAACTAGTGAAACGGTTTTACCTGAGTTGAAGGACATATTGATATCACTGCATAGCAGTTCGAAGTCATTGATTTTAGACTGTAAGTTATCCTCCATATCTTGAAAAAAACTCTTACTGGATAAGATGATAAAATCGTCTGCGAATTGAAAAACCTCAGTATTCCTGTCTTGTATTTGATGTAAGCGTTTCGTGTACAAATTAAAGAGAACAGGCGACAAACAACTGCCCTGCGGAATACCTCCTGTTACTGTTTTAGTGTATTTACCTAGAGTTAGTATTCTGATTTTAAAAAAGTTATGTATCCAATTGATAAAAATTGGAGGAATGTTTTCCGAAACCATAATTCTTTTGAGGAAATTCAAATTGACGCAATTGTATGCATTCTCAAGGTCAAGAATTACCATTGCCACGGACTTTTTACGTGATTTGTATAGCTCACACGAGTTTAAAATATCGTTCAGACACATAGCAGCTGATCTGTTTTTCCTATAAGAGAAACACCTAGCAGGCAAAATGTACTCACTTTCAATAAATTCACACAACCTTTCCTTAATCATTTTATTTATCGTTTTGGCAAAAACAGATATAAGGGAAATGGGTCTGAAGTTCTTGTAATCCGTAAGGTCCTTATCTTTTTTGGGAATAGGAATAATTTTAATTATTCTCCATTCCTCGGGAATCCTATTGTCTCTGATTAATTGATTAAAAAGCTTCAGCATGTGTGATTTACAATTAGAGTCAAGGTTGTTTAACATCTCAAAAGTTACACCGTCATGACCTCCAGCACTTTTCTTTTTTTTGCTTAAAACCAGGTTAAGATCAACTAAGTTAAATTCTTGAAAGAGTTCAGCATCCACTATTTGATCATGAAACATTGAGTTCGAAACATCCGTTGGTATTTGTTGTTCCAGATACTGCAGATAGTTTTCTTGATCAGACATATTTAATTTACAATAGTTACCAGAATCTAAATTTTTAAGAGCTTTTAGGAAGTTCCAAGCAGACTGATTAGAAGGTTGTTCATTTATTTCTTCTAATTTCTCCATATAAGAGAGACTCTTTGCAGCTTTCACAGCCTTTTTCCATACTGCCTTTACATTGACAGCTAAAATATAGTTATCCATTGAAGGGTGTCTGTTAGCTAAGGTCTGAGTAGCCTTGTATCTCTCGAAAAGAATTTTGAGGTCATTATTCCACCACAGTTTAGGAATCCTATTCTTTTTGATAATGTAAGTAGATTTTTTAATTTTTTCCTTAATGGTACTAGCTATGTTAGTAATGTCACCGTTTAAAACCGTTTTTCCTAAACTGTTCAATAATCTGTTTTTTGCTATGAAGGTACTGCTTTTCATTGCTGTATCAAGAACTTCTATATTTACAGGGTGGTGATGACTACCACCAACAAATAAAGGTTTGCACTCCCAGGATGTACTGAGCCCAGCATTTGTGAAAGCTAGATCCAGCACAGAACCTTGCGCACTATCAATATGTCTTCTGTACGTAGGACTACCAGAGTTCAGGCAAACAAAACCAGCATTGTTCATTGATTCAATAAGAAATTTACCTCGAGCATTGTTAGTATAATCACCTAGGACTGTATTCCTGGCATTGAAATCACCAATAATAAAGACATTGTTTAAATTATCAGAAAAGTCAAGAATATTTAGAATTTCACACTTGAAATCATCCATGGATAATGAAGGTTCAAAATACACAGAAATGATAGTTATATTGGGGTTTAGGTTTAATGTTGTTGCAACAATAACGTCGTTATCAGTCCTGTAAGTAATGCTTTTGAATTTAATACATTTTCTAAACGCAATGGCCACACCTCCATAATTGTCGTCTCTATGTTTCTCAATTATATTGAAAAGCGCAATCTTTCTTCGATTGTTTAACACATTGTGAGAAAAAACTTCAGAAAGAACTGCAATGTCATAGTTATTGTTATTTAAGACAAACTCAATATCGTTTTTATTAAAAGATAAAGATTGGACATTATGTTGATAAATTTTAATAGGCATTTAAATGATTAACGGTCGTCATATCAGATTTATTACGTGTTAGTTTTCTTTTGTCTTGCTTTAAAAATTCTATTTTATTTTGTATTTTCATGACACTTTCCAGAATTTCACTCTTACCCTCAGCAAGAGGTAAAATAAGTTGAATTAAGTCCTTAATGAGTAAAAATGTACTGTCTTTTTCTGAAATTTCCTCTCTGTCTGGATATTTAAATTTCCAGTCAGATTTCACATGTTCATAGGACTCCAAAGGAGGGAAATTGGGTTTCATAATAGGTGCAGTCGGTCTCTGCACTAATCTGGTCACATAGGAATGTTTTTTTAATGATTTGTTCACTACCTCATCTCTGTTGACTGTCACCGGAATGCTTGTCTGAGTTAATGAAGGAAAATCTTGATCATACTTATTAAAAACCTGAAATTCACTGGGCAAAGAATATTTCTCCAGGACTTCCTTCCTGGACAATTTTTGAATCGTCATTAGTTTCATTAAGTGCATCTCTTTTGCCCATACAGGGCATTCATACCTACTCCAGGAATGATGATCTGGGCTATTACACAAAATACACTTTTTAACTTTACAGGTATTTTTACAGTCCTGGGCACCACAGCTCCTGCACCTATCCTTAGCCTTGCAGCGACTTGTGGTGTGATTTAGTCGTCCACATTTAAAACACTGTCTAACATTGGGAATAAAGTGAGTAACTTTTAGGTTAATAACTCCAAACACAGAAATCGACTCCGGAATTTCGGTACCTAAGAAATTAATTTTAACTGATTCTGTAGGCTCCAATTTAAACGTGTTTTCTCCATCAGTATTAGTACTTTTCACCTTTCTACAAATCCTTTCCACACTCTTGACCTCAATCAACGAATCAATGTTCGCCTCAAGTTCTTTGTCACTCAAGTCAACAGGAACGTTCCTGATAACACCACTGGTTTCAGTAAAATTTTTCGGTATAAACGCACTTATTTTCATATCAGCTAGCTTTTTGTTTAAAACACACGCATTGGCATCTCTCCACTCCTTAAAGACAACTTTATAAAGCTTCGCACCTAATACAACTATGTTACAGATATTTTTCAAACCTACGTCTTTTATTTTACCAAAAAGATAAAGACCATTTTTAGCAATGATGTTTTCCGTACTCTTACACTCCTTGGTGTCCAGCAGAACACTTGCTACTCCAACGTGGAGCACATCGTAAAGATTTTCAGTCCTGTCAGAAGAACCATTGTTGCTAACTGCGTTGTTGTTGCTACTGGTAGCTTGAGATTTGAGGTTAACCGGCTCGTTAGCTGGAAATGAGACACCTTTAGCGCCCTCGTCCATTACATCAAAAAATGAATTCTCAGAATCCATAGAGCTTGTGGACTCTTTATTAGAACTTAAATTCGCGAGCTTTAAAACATGCTGATCATCAAGATTATTCAGTACAAGTTTTCTTTTCTTAGAATCATCACTTCGACATATATTTTTGCTAGCACTGCTGATGTTTAAATGGCCGGCCGCCGAATTTTCGGCGTCCGCCATGTTTTTCGCCGGCTTGACCACCTTTTTTTGCCAAAGACTCACCTTATTCAGAAAAAAATCTTTAAAAATCTCCTCTAAAAAGAGTAATCGGGATTTAAAAAGAATAAATCACAAATAAACAAGACTTTATCTACTCAATGGTAGTATTCTTTCTAACCACACTGATTTAAATCTTCACTTAATTAGAGCACTATCCAAGGCACGTCCGTCCGCGCCCGCTGCCAAAAAGAGAGAACGTACTCTAGGCTTATGCTGATACCGCAAAGTGCAATATGACCGTGCTGAGCTCTCGAAAATATACTTTATTTTTCATACTACATTAGGGAGGTTCCTAAAATTTTGTGGTATTTTAGTTTTCCTTCAATATCTGGTATCCATATGGGCTATTTCACGGAGTCGCTTATTACTTTGGCATGGGTTCGGCTCGGGGTTCGAACCTAATCGGTTTCCAAGGTTTTGGATTGTAAATTTTTTATACCCTTGCAGAGCGTAATATAATTCCAGTCAGAAGTCTGTGAAGGAGACGTTTCCAACCATGTAAAGTACATATACTCTCAGTATAAAACAAAAACACCTATTTAGGGCTGGTATTCAAGCCAACCAAAAGAAGTTAAAAACTATAAACTTTAAATAAAAGAACGTCTCAAAATTTTTGTTGAAGGTATTTTACGGCAGTAATCATGCGTCACAAAAAAAATACTTAAATACCGCTCTAAAATTAATTCACATAAGGGGGATTCCCTAAACTGTTGAATTGCTGAATTGTTGAATTTTGGTCAGCTGTTAATCAGCTGTTCCATACAAAGCCAACTTTCAGAAATTTCAGCAATTCATCAGCCTCGGGGCTGTTGAAAATTTTGTTGAATTGCTGAAAAGCCAGAGTTGTCACCTTTTTTTAAAAGTCGTGGCAACTCTGTAACATTTTAGTATCACCAGTACGCATTATTTATTTTAAAATAAACTTTGAAAGCATATTTGTGGTTCTTTTTACCTTGGTAACACTTTTAGAGAGTAACTAGCAATAATAAATCAAATTTTACATGCTTTAAGTTCCGTGAAATTTTTCAACAAATAACAGCTGTTTGAAAATTCAACAGGAACCGTTTTGGGTCGTTCCCTTAATTGCTGAAATTTTTTGTTGAATTTTCAACAATTCAGCAATTCAACAGTTTAGGGAATCCCCCTATATAAACTACTATAAAACAGGGACTCTAAAAAACGGTCTGCAAAATTCACCCAAAACGGATTGCATTAAAAATCTAAAAAAACTAAGCCGACCCCAAAGCAACCCAAAATTTGATTTGTTTTTTTCAATTCTTTCTTTTGCCATTTCGCTGTTAAAATATCAAAGTCATTTTAAATGCAAATTTGTTGTGTATATTTGTACCTATCAAAATTTAGTTTCAAATCGGACCTTTCATTAAAAAGTTATGCGCAATCAAAATTTAATATATCCATTTCCTTTTACCTGAGTGACGGGTATTAGATAGTCGGGACACCAACGCAACTATAGCGTTCTATCTTGTTATACCCTTTCAGAGGGTATTATGATTTCAGTCAGAAGTTTGCAACGCAGTGAAGGAGACATTTCCGACCCCATAAAGTATATATATTCTTGATCAGCATCACAAGACGAGTCGATCTAGCCATGTCCGTCTGTCCGTCCGTCTGTCCGTCCGTTTCAACGCAAACTAGTCTCTCAGTTTTAAAGCTATCGGGATGAAACTTTCGTAAAAGTCGTATTTCTATTGCAGGTAGTATATATGTCGGAACCAACCGGATCGGACAACTATATCTTATAGCTCCCATAGGAGGGATCAAAAAAAAAAAACGTAAAAAAATTCTAGCTCCGGTGTTTTTTGAAATTTTACGTTCTACTCTTGGAAATATTTTTTTTTATATATTTCTGAATTTCGGTTTTTTTGTTTTTTAAATCGGATCACTATATCATATAGCTGCCATAGGAACGGTCGAAAAATTAAATAGAAATTAATGGGAAAAAAATTATATCTTTATTGGTTTATATTACATTCCCTTCTACTCTGGGATATGACTATTTTGAAATATTTCCAAATTTCGATTTTAATTTTTAAAAGATCGAACTACTATATCATATAGCTGTGATAGAAACGATCGAAAAACAAGAAAGGAAGCTAGCTTCGGCAAGCCGAAGCTTATATACCCTTGCAGATCATTCTATTAATTTACAAATCACAAAAATGTTAAATTTCTTATTATTTCACATTAATTTTTCGATCGTTTCTATCACAGCTATATGATATAGTAGTTCGATTTTTTAAAAATTAAAATCGAAATTCGGAAATATTTCAAAATAGTCATATCCCAGAGTAGAAGGGAATGTAATAAAAACCAACAAAGATATAATTTTTTTCCCATTAATTTCTATTTAATTTTTCGACCGTTCCTATGGCAGCTATATGATATAGTGATCCGATTTAAAAAACAAAAAAACCGAAATTCAGAAATATATAAAAAAAAATATTCCCAAGAGTAAAAGGTACAATTTCAAAAAACACCGGAGCTAGAATTTTTTTACGTTTGTTTTTTTGATCCTTCCTATGGGAGCTATAAGATATAGTTGTCCGATCCGGTTGGTTCTGACATATATACTACCTGCAATAGAAATACGACTTTTACGAAAGTTTCATCCCGATAGCTTTAAAACTGAGAGACTAGTTTGCGTAGAAACGGACGGACAGACGGACAGACGGACAGACGGACGGACAGACGGACAGACGGACATGGCTAGATCGACTCGTCTTGTGATGCTGATCAAGAATATATATACTTTATGGGGTCGGAAATGTCTCCTTCACTGCGTTGCAAACTTCTGACTGAAATCATAATACCCTCTGCAAGGGTATAATAATGTGAAATAATAAGAAATTTAACATTTTTGCGATTTGTAAATTAATAGAATGATCTGCAAGGGTATATAAGCTTTGGTTTGCCGAAGCTAGCTTCCTTTCTTGTTTTTTTTTTTGGTATAGATATTTTTTCGAGCCAATAACTTTTCCTTTAGGCTTTTAACCTTTCAATTGGTGAATCACTTGGACTATTTTGTTCGTTTTCCCATTTCCCGTCTGCGGCGGAAAAGATTTTGATGTTCAACCTTAACAGTAATAATATGCACGTCTTTTATCAATAATACCGAAAAAAAACTTTGAACACCTTAATACTGACAGTCTTAATCAAACACATTTTAAGAAAGATATAAATTTATTTGTTTTTAAAAAGTCTTTAAAATGGACGGAGTGCATTTACATAAATTATAATGTTTACAAAAGAGCACGAATGGAATGTTTTTATATTTTTTTATCGCTGTACTACTTACTCTCATATAAGGTCACTTCTTAGTATAGTTTATATTCTTACTGCCTAAACTTGTGCTGCATTCAGTGGTTTGTGTAGAAAAAGGTTGTGATGAATAGCAATGTGCTTAAAATAAGCGCCGTATTGATGTTGTGGCCATATCGGGTGTTTGCAGCATTACGCGTCGTCTTACCCATTTGGAAGCGCAGAGTGGGACTGGACATGCGACCGTCTCCTCCATTGCTGAATGCGAGGACACGCATGTTGTAGCTCTTTCCGGGCGTAAGCGTGTTGATGTAGGACTCAAGTTTTTGTCCAATTGGCACGATGGTATTGTTGGCTGTGATCATGTTCTGATCAGTTTCCCAAATGCGAACCTAAAAATGTTGAGACGTTAATAATCAGTTTCTTCGCCGTTGGACTCGGCGACATACCTTATAACCCTCAACTGGTTCCTCGTCCTGCGAGGGGGAAACGTAGCGCCATACAACTCGCACCGTGGACGGATTTATTCCATATACATGGACTGAAGACGGTGGTTTTTGTGGGGCCTTTCGATATGTACGTTCTAAAGATCATTAAAGTTTAAAAACAAATATATATATATAATTCGATTTTAGTTGTTTCTTATTTATTCTGTTACCCACCTTCAAACCGTTCGCTTTCAGGTCCTTCGCCAGCAGCATTGTATGCCATAACCTTCACAAAGTAGTAGGTGTCTGGCTGCAGACCAACGATCAGCGCCCAATTTCTTGTGGTACGTGACAGGTAGTAAACGGAATCTTCTTCCTGATGTGTAGTTTTCCAGTACTTCAACTAATTCGAAAATGGTTAAAACAATATAATAAAAAGTATATCAACAACCTTACCCTGTGGCCAATAAGTTTGCCTCGAATGTTCTCACGGGACATATCAATCGGTTGCCAGGTGACATTGAAGCATGTGGAGTTAAAGGCGAGCGCAATGGGCTTTTGTGGAGCCACTTGTGGCATGTCTTCGGCGGAGTGGATAACAGCAATTTCACTCTCCGGTCCTTTGCCTATGCTGTTGATGGCCTGCACCTTAACCTCGTACTGCGTATAATAGTTGTTGAGCGGAATATTAACAACTGCCACGCCCATATGGTCTTGTTTCTTTATCTCGTCGGATGCCCATTCGATAGCCCCCTTAAGCTTCCAAAACACTTTGTAGTGTATACCATGGCTGTGCTGCTCTTGCGGCAATAGCGGGTCCCAAGTAATCGTTAGGTCACCGATTTTTCCACCCCCCCCACCCACGTTTCTTGGCGCTATATAAGGCTTGTCCTCATAGGTGCTGTAAATTGGTGATGGGGCTGACGGCGTACCAATTCCCAAGTCGTTTACGGCGGTCACGCTAAACTCGTAGGCCGACCACGGCGTAAGGTTGACAACCTCGGCTTGTTGGCGCGAAGTGTAACGATCCACCTCCCGCGCCTGGACATGAGTTGATACATTAACCCATGTGCGATTCCAGTTGGTGCGTCCTAGGATGTTGTAGTAGCGGATTGCGCGGCCGTTGTTGGCTCCATCCACCCACTCAATGATGGCCTTAGTCTTACTGATCTGTATGACTTGAACGCCGCCTGGTGCGCCAGGTGCTCCTTCTATGGACACACTGGTCTTACTGCTTATCTCGTTGACCGCCGACTTGACTACGCACTCGTAGTCGCCGGCATCACGCATGGTGGTGTTATGCACAGTCAATCTGTTCCAGTCTACAATCTATAAAGCGGATATTGTGGTATAATGCCTGTTAGTTCGGATTTGATAAAAATCAGCTTACAATACGTCCGGTTCCATCGTGGTTGTTTTTTAGGATTTCGCCGTTGTGCTTCCAAACGTAAGCTATGTCTAGCAGCTCATCAAAGGCAGCCTCACAATGCAAGAAAATTAAGTCATGTTCCTTGGAAACAATGCGTTGCGGAGGGGTTTCAATAAACCGAATTTCCTCTGAAAGTTATTAAAAAATTAGTTAGAGAATGTATTATAAAATGAACATTTGTTATTTTTAAGATTTTTCTAAAGTAACAAAGTAGGTTTTTTAATCAACAATAATACCGTTTTTCAAATTAAAAATTAATCAAAAAAATTAATTATTTCTTAATGAATCACAAAAGTTTAATTTTTATTGTGTTAAGATAAAATAAGAGAGAAAGCTTTAGTCGAGTACTTCGACTAACGGATACCCGTTATTCAGCTAATAACTTTTTTTACTCTGCTCTCTCGACTTTGCTAAAGATCCTGATCAAGACAATATATTCTTTATAGAGTCGGAAAGGCTTCCTTCTCACTGTTACATACTATTCTTTCTTTCTTTCTTTCTATTTTATTTTGTCAATAAACCCCTTTGAGAATCTAATATAATTATTTTTCAATAGCATTACTTTTTTTTACAATTGTGATTATAATCAAAAAGTTATGCTACCTCTTTTAATTAATGTAATATTTTTCTTACGTAAAACAATAACTCGGGCGTGGGACTGATCGGTGCCTGCTTGATTTGATGCAATACATGTGTAAACGCCCTCATCATCGCGTGTCGTCAAATCAATGGTTAGAGTGCCGCTGGGCAGGATGCGTCGGTGGCCTCCAGAGCCTAATAGCTGACCGTCTTTTTTCCATTGGAATTTAGGGCGTGGTGCGGCTTCTGGGTTGCAGACAATTGTAGTATTGCCATTGTTAACAGCATAGATCTCAGATTCGAGCGGATGCTTTTTAAAAGACGGTTTCATAGACAGCACCCGGAGCTGCGCTGAGGAGAATGAAGTTTTAAGTTGATTTTGTGCTCCGCACTGGTACATTGCTTCGTCCTTATCCTTTTCCAGAAACTTTATAGTTAGTACATTGTCTTGGATAATGTATCGGTCACGATTAATAGTCCCGGGATCGAGACGTTCGGCATTTTTGTACCAAGTGTAGTTCGCGTCCGGGATGGCAAAGGCCTCGCATATGAAAGTTACGTCGCTGTTGTAGTCCTTGATCATATCTTTGAGAGGAATAGTAAACTGTGGGCGCATTTGTATGTTGATATAGATGCTTTTCATCAGCGTCTTTCGGGGATTGGTGATCGTGCAGGAGTACTCGCCGTTGTCGTTCGTGGTTGCGTTTTGGATGATTAACACACGTCCATAGTTGATGGTGTAAGCATTGCGTTGAAGAGGTAGTCCTTGTCGAGTCCAATTATACGACGGAATTGGGTAACCAAAGGCCATGCACTCCAGCCGGATCTCGTCACCTGCCACAGGCGCCTCCGGAAAGACTTTTGGAAACGTGTTGGCAAATATCAGTGCCTGATAGTTACTGTTTGGAGTTACGCGTAGCGGGAAAAAGGGGCCATTGCGGCCAGTATCCGATACAAGGGTCTGTACAGTGCACGAGTAGTTGGCTCGGTCCACGGTTTCGATAAAGGAGAAATAAAGGGCGCCATCTCGAGATACGAATACACGCTGGTCCTCCTCTACGAAATTCGGGAAATAGTCACGAGCCCAGTAATATCGAACGTCGGGATAGTGCTGAGGTGGGTCGCAGAATATCGATTTGCCCCAGTTCATCTCGCTCGTCTCTGCAGAGCGTTTTAAGTTAAACTCCATGATGAAACCGAAGTTCAGATGCGCACTTTCTGAACGAATGCGTCCAAATTTGTTTTCTGCCACGCAATGATATGAGCCTTGGTCTAGTGCCTGCTTAGGCTCGTAGATAATCAAGTTGCCTCCAGAAATAGTGTATCGATCCTGCGCCAGTGGATCGATTTTCTGGTATTCGAGTGTGTCGTCTACGTATACTTCGCGGTACCAGTAGTATGAGGGCGTTGGAAAACCACCGGCCAAACAGCTTAATGTTACATCATTGATCAGGCGATTCTTGTTCACATCGAAAGTAGTGTCGTTTGGCATCTTTACGAAATAAGGACCTCGTGGAATACGTTCCATATCAGTAATATCCAGTCCATAGTGGTAGGGTCGCTTGTCGTCCAATTTTATGTTAACATTGTCTGGACTGTATAGTACCTTAGACTCGCAGATAAAGAGATTGAGTTCAATTTCATAAGCCGGCATAAACATCCATCGATCCCTTTTCTTCGAAAAAGCATAGACAACGCGATCGCGCACATATCCGTTCTCTCCGTACGGCTGGTTAGGACCTGCGAGAAACAAAGAGATTAGAAAAGTATAGTATTAAGTGCAAAATAACGTGCCTATAAAGCCGCGTAGGTTGTTCTGATTGCGCTGATTAACGGTGCCAGGCAGAGAGTTGTAGAACTGATTGGGATTGTTGAGATTTCGGTTATTCAAGTCGTTTTGCACAAGGAACCGATTGTCGTGCAGATCCTCGTTTTCCAGGGGCACGTGCTCATCCATGGAAAAGGAGTCCTCAATCTGTACCAGCTGGGTGTTGTCATCGTTGACCCAATTAAGGGGTCCCGTCTGGCGCGCAGAGATGAAGAATCTGTTCTGCCGTTGATTTTGCAGTATGAGGTTCTTGAGTATAAATGAGTGCTTCTCCACGTTGTCTACGTTTATCAAATCCGCACTGTAGGCCTTGCATATCTTCTTCGCCTCAGCCCAGTTGCGCTTGGGCGAACGAATAAAGCGATAGCATGTCTGCCTAAACGAGACCCAGTGCTCCGGACAAAAGTTGTCCTCGTCACTGTAGGCGTCGCGATAGTTAATTCCCGCCGCGCCAATACTGTTTCGGTTAAAGGGGTCATACTGTGGGCCGAGTCCACCCAGGTTATTTCCAGGCCCGACTACGGTGCCTCCAGCTCCTACTCTGCTATCGTAGTAGCCCTTGTAGGTGCTGGGGCTTTGGCCGTCGAGCAAAGGATTGTCGAACTGGCTGGACTCCGGGCTCTGTTGCTGTCCCGTATACAGGGGATTGTACCGCGGCGAATAGTCCTTGTTGTAGCTGGGCTGATATGATTGCGGCTGCTGCCCGGACTGGCCCGGATCCGCTTGGCCCAAAGGCAGATCTCCAGACAACTGGGGAGTGGCCAGGCCAACTAAATGGAGCACTAGGAGGCCGGCCAGGATTCCGCTTTTTGAGAACATATTCTGTTTTCTTGTGAATGACATTGACACTTCTTCAGATGGCACTCTGCTCATCAGACTAAAGGCACATTTTGCTATAAAATTCGATTGTTTCTGGAAGAAGAGGAACAAATATTCTTGTTTATTTTTCACACCTAATGGCATAAACAAATGTAAAGTAAACAAATCAGGCGATCTTTGGTCAATCACATTGGTTTGAATTAGTAATCCGTTGCGTGTCATGCACATGTGTGTGTGTGTGTATGTGTGTGTTTAGGCGTGGTCGTAAGCCGCGATAGAAATATAAATGCATTAATTAATCAAAAACTATTAATTTCATTAAGTTATTAAAGAACTTCTTGATTTGCTATTATAGGGTATGTCCAGATGCCAAAGAGCAAAGAATATTGCCCAATCCTATTAATCAGTGCCAGCTTAAATGATGTTTGGCTAAGGAAATCATCTAACCACACCTTAATCTTAATTATGCCTCCTGGCCACAAAATCCAATCGTTCCACAGCTCGCTCTTTTATGTGCTTCGGCTTGTCTGAGTGGTGATACAGGTACTCTGTTTTGGCCAAACAATTCTAAACAAATTATGCAGTTTACAGCTATTTAAACTATGGTTTAATAAAATAAAAACAAAACCGAGCCCAAGCTGAGCAGTGTGACCGCAGAATAGCAAGTAATTATTCCGTCGGCTCACAGAATTATACCATTTTTAGTTTTTCAAATTTTAAACGGTCCCTCTAAAAATCGGTGTCGAACTAGGCATTAGCCTAGTACTCAGTAGGACTAAAACTGCTGGCTAAGCATATGAGTAAACGAGAGGCTAACACTTTTAGCCGGGGACTTTTTCACCGCGGTACTCAGATGAGCTAAGGAAATGGTTAGCAAATACCAAAAAAAATACCAGATTTAGCGGGTTAATTCCTTAGCCGCGGCACAAAGAATATAACAGGGGGATTCCCTAAACTGCTGAATCGCTGAATTGTTGAATTTTGGTCAGCTGTTAATCAGCTGTTCCATACAAAGTCAACTTTCAGAAATTTCAGCAATTCAACAGCCTCGGGGCTGATGAAAATTTTGTTGAATTGCTGAAAAGCCAGAGTTATCACCTTTTTTTAAAAGTCGTGGCAACTCTGTAACATTTTAGTATCACCAGAACGCATTATTTATTTTAAAATCAACTTAGAAAGCATATTTGTGGTTCTTTTTACCTTGGTAACACTTTTAGACAGTAACTAGCAATAATAAATCAAATTTTACACGCTTTAAGTTCCGTGAAACTTTTCAACAAATAACAGCTGTTTGAAAATTGTTGAATTTTCAACAATTCAGCAATTCAACAGTTTAGGGAATCCCCCTAACATTTGATTGTGCAGAAGCGGTGTGCCAATGACATATTCAGGGTATTCCCTAAACTGTTGAATTGCTGAATTGTTGAAAATTCAACAAAAAATTTCAGCAATTAAGGGAACGACCCAAAATGGTTCCTGTTGAATTTTCAAACAGCTGTTATTTGTTGAAAAGTTTCATGGAACTTAAAACATGTAAAATTTGATTTATTATTGCTAGTTACTGCCTAAAATTGTTACCAAGGTAAAAAGAACCACAAATTTGCTTCCTAAGTTGATTTTGAAATAAATAATGCGTACTGTTGATACTAATAGGGTCTTCCCACAGAGCTCAATCCACCATCAACCATCCGTTGAACGGATGGTCCGTAAGGTTTTGCCGTTCCGAAAATTTCCCAGTTAGTCCGCCATCCAATTTTGACGGACTTTGACGGGCCCTTTTATCCGATAGTTAGGCGATGTTTTCTCGGTGCAACTCTGAATTCTTTCTCTTGACTGTGAAAATTGGAACGATGACTGCGAGAACAAATGAAATCGATGGCGGGAAAAAAATTAAATAATGCTTACGCTTATTGTTTCTTGGGTTTTTTTTTAATTATTTGTAGTTTGTTATGGGCGGAAAAGCATTCCAAAACAGGTTGCTATGAGTGGGCCAAAATTTAAGCTGTTCTTTGTACGAAAACATCAATGTTTGCAGCGAAGTCTCAGAATATGTTCTGCACTACTCCTAAAAAGTTCCAAAGTTGCTATAAATTACCAAAAACAGCACAAATTTGGTTTTGCTTACAAATTTTTCATATTAATATTGGCTAGGCAGAGGCGAAGTAAGAGCGGAGTGTGGGGTACGGGAGGTTAGGCTCTCCCTCAGTCAGCTATATGTATGCGTACTCGTTTTAGGATAAGTTATGTTCAGATATGTTATTTAACCATTATCTTAAACAATAAGATTAGGAGAACGCAATTTTGCGACAGTTTTTCTGATACCCCTTGTTAATGTTGAGTTGAGCAACTGCTCTTCAAGTCACCGCTCTTTCGCGGCAGCTCATCGATGTGTGTGTTCATACCTGCAGGCTGTGTACGTGAGCGACTACCCTTCAGTTCTGGCGTCCCATGTCGGGGACAATTCCTTAGGCAAAACGCTCGGCCGCTGTCGACGTCAGCAGAGCAGTCGGCTCACCGTGTACCTGAAAGAAAGAGAGGCTGATATTTATATATTGCGCTCTCTTTCCTTGTCTTATAATTTGCCTGCACTCGACGCTAGCAGTGACAAATTTCGGCCGGTCCGTCATTCTCTTTTTCGCCTTACAGTTATGTTCAGTTAGCAACCAAAATTTGGCCAGTAAAATTGCATGTGTATGCCCTTTCATTTTAGGACCCTTTTTTGTATTCCGAAATAAAAAAATTAATTTCGTTTTATAAACTTAAATTGAGTTTACTTCAAAAATTCATTTAACTAATTTAGTTTATTGTTTAAATTGATTTTATAATATTCCAAAAGTCCAATTGGTCGATAATATTTTTTAAATAATAAAATATTAAAATTTGTATCTTTACTCAATAGAAAGGCTATACAAAGAAGCATTGGCACGCGGCAAAAGCGACGATGAATCAAAAGAAAACGGGAAAGCAAAATCATGACTGGCTGTATTTTTTGACTGTGCTTAAATTTGTGCGTAGAAAATTTGTAATTGGCGATTTAAAAAATTGTACAAGTGTTTACCAAATGCATTAAAAGTTAGGTAAGTGGCATTTTAATTCATTTACATATATGCAGTTGATATTAATTAGAATAACCGGTAGGTTTTTGTCCCGTTTGCTATTGTTTCTGGGTGGAAAAATTCTTGCAATATGTACATTAGGGTGGACCTTTTTAAGGTCAACTGAGCTCAGCATCTTGAATGGTAGGTTTCTGTGTCCAAAAAATTTATGCGAAAACCGAAAAATTTTATATCATCGTTTAAGCGGTGCGCAAGGCCCTAAAGTTTCGCTTAAAATAAGGTGTAAAACTAGGTATTTACCCCATTCCATTTCTTTAACTTTTTGGTTTCGCTCGAATAAAAGAGTCAAGTAGAAATTTATTTCATGAATATTAACAGTTGGACGTAGCCTAGCCTGTAGAGCTTCTGTCTCCGAACAAAAAGGACCTAGTTCGATCCCCGACGCAATAAATATTCTATTTTACAATTTTGAAGATTAACTATTACTCTTGCGTTCGCCAATAAAAATTTTCGTCAAAGAAATGCTGGCTTAGGATACAATATTTTTCAGAGACCGTAATATTTATAAATTGTACTCTAAAAGTCATTGATTATTCGTTATTATATTGTTATTTTTAAGTTGTAATTGTCTCCCAACGATTTGAATTTTATCACCGACTTCATCCCTTTTTAAATTGCTCGGGAAAGTGATTAACATACTTTTTAAAATACTGTCAAAGTATAAAATCAAATCTACGGCATCTAGATGGATCTGAAAAATAAGTAATAAACTTTAAAGCCGTTGCGCACCGACTAAAACTAATTATTTTTTACTTTTCCTTTCTTTTATCAATTAAGGATACAAAAAAGCTCAATATGAAGGGGTGAGAGCATGGCCTTAGAAATTTCATACAAAATAAGTCCACCCTAATGTACATACATAACCACATTTCCCGTGGCCAGCGCTAAAAATGCTTAGGATCTCGCTGCGATCTCTACTTGATTTAAAAAGGTAAATATAAAAATATACAAGTAAAACATATTTTTAAAACATATGTCTGTCTTTAATTTTTTCAGGATCCTTGGGCAAATTCATGAGGACAAATTCATGAGGACGGCGATCTTACATTAATATTAAAAGCAAAAAAAAACAAGGGGTATTATTTATAATTAATTGTACGAAAATGTAAGTAAAACAATTGAACACAAAATACAATTTATAAAACGAAAGAGCCAATAAAAATTAAAAATAAATTTGTATGTTTCTTATTTTATATAATGCAAGGAAAGATTTTTTTTGTAAATGAAATTGCTAATGACATTTTTAAAAAGTCATCCATGAAATCACCTATGACACAAAGTGACACGATGATGGATTTTCCTAAGTGACAACCCATTGGACAAGTTCTGAATGTCCCTCGTGAAATCATAAGGGACATGTCACCGGTTGGTGACATCTCAAAGGACAATTTCGTATAAGGCCCTTGGTATATCCCCGGGGACTTCGAAAAAATTTCCTTTGAATTGTACTGAAGGAAAAAGCGGAACTCCCATACAATTTTCTCTATGTGGCATCCTCGGTTCGTCCTGAGGTACAAATGACATGTCCTCGGGCTTTCCTTTGGTGATTACTGAGGGAAAAGTGACATCTGGAACTGAAGGGTAAGAATGAGCAGAACAATTCCCTATGCTCATTTAATAGGACGCTGCCGACCACTGCTGTAAATATTCTACATGCTTACGTTGAAATTTGTTAGTGTGAGACAAGCGAGAACTTCTCTGTGTGAACATGCTATACAGTGCGTTAGAGGTGGGGAAACATCGAAAATTTCGAATTTAACAGGCAAACTCGATGTAACATCGAAAAACATCGATGTTTCTCCACCTCCATAGTGCGTTGCATTCGCGCGGTACTCGACGTCCCTATGGTTACTGCCATTCGCCCAGAAAGGCGCGGTCAAATTCGAAACGCTGGTCAAATTAAACAGTTAACAGAATTTATTTTTGGTTTCTTTTACTTTTACACAATCACTACCAGTTACGATGTATAATTTGAGTACCTACCGTCACAACTTGTAGTGATCGGTAAGAATGTGAGGTCAAGAGTAATATCATGAGTATTTCAAATGAAACTCAACAGGCAAAATGCTAATAAATGCAAGGTGAGTAAATAAATAGACAGCTAAATCAAGCAATATTGTCTTCGTTAAGCTCTTGAAGTGAACAGGGACTCAAAGACCCTTGTTGAACCAGACGGTGTCCAGATCCGGACGCTTCTTCTTGATACTGTCGCGTACCTCCGACTCTAGACTGTCCACGTTGATGCCCGCCCGCTGCTTGAAGAAGGCGCATCCGAGGGGTGTGGCGAAAATCAACACGAAACCGCAGAAGAGCGTTTGAATGGGGGCGTTGGATCGCGGGTATTTAGCCAGGAATCCCCTCTTCTCTAGGGTATTCATCAGCATCGGCGTCAGAGCTGAAATAGGAGGTTGGTATTGTAAGTTCTTGAATGTTTCAGAATAAGTAACTTTTACACCGAAAAGAAACATAATAAAAACTATACTATTCGTATTTAAATTCTAAACTATTTAGTTTCAAATATATCACTGCGGACGGCAATCCACCTAGTGACGAAGCGCACCAGGAGAGTGTGCGAAAGAGACTACTATATATCCACGAAGAAATGAAAATCTGCCGTGATGGTCCGAACGCAATGAATAATTCACCAATCGAAAGGAATCGCAAAAAGGATTGTATACTAAAACTTTAAGAATATGTATTGGTTTGGGAAAGAGCGGTGAAGGTGAAAATTTAGAAATTTGAAGCTGTTGGGGCCGGTCGGTCGTGATAAATGCCCCTTAGCATTATCCAATTGTGTTCCTATTAAATACGCGTCGTATGATAAGATCCGATGCTCCGTTCAAGTTATTCCAAACTCAAGATTTTGGAGGACTTTTCAAAATGAAAACTTTATTTTCTTTGCCAGTTTGTTAGTTTGTCAACTTGTCCCAAAATTATGTTTAAGGATCCCAAAAATTTTATATCGTGTTAAACAGCTCCATATAAGAAACAGACCACTTTTGGAAAAAACCCGCTAGTTTAGCGGAAAAACAGCTATAAATATCTTAATTTCAAATACTCGTAACTAAGGAACTAGTAAAGATCTTAACTTGTGCTATATGTCGTCAAAAAAGTATTTGGATATTTTATAGACTTAATTGGAATAATCGGCACCCTGTAATAAAAAATGTCTCTAAAGGCTAGAATAATTTGCTATTTGAAAGGGCGATCGTCACTTGTTTTTTACTTCGTCAAGATGTGTTTTTATTTGATCTTATAATATGACTATGTTAAACTATTTAGTATAACAGGTATGCATTTTATACTCAGGGTATTCCGTCAACCAAATAGTTCCTGTTGAATTTTCAAACATCGGTTATTTGTTGAAAAATTTCACGAAACTTTATTTTATTGTTAGTTACTAAGAGTTTCCATGTCTCTTAATAAAATAAGGTAGGGGAGTGTAGGGTAATGAGACGAGTAGGGTAATGTGACGAACTCGTCGAATCTCACATATGACGACACGACAAAAATTCCACAAAAAAAGTAGTCGTCTCTTCTTATCGTGTCGAAAATGTATTTACTGTAATATTAATAAGAAGTCCCGTAATTTGTTCATGAGGTAATTTTTTCTAAAAAGGTGGTGCGCAAATTAGAAAACCTATTCAATTTATTTGTGTTTCAGCAGTGCCAGAGCGAAGATGAGTGGAAAATAAAATCATAAATAATATGCACGTATAAATGAGATCTTTATCAACAGTTTTCGGTACTTGGCGTTTTTTTTGTTTGCGCCGTTTGAGAGTGCCACCCTTTTTGCTCCAAGTGTACCTTGTAGGGTATCGTGACGAACCTTTTGTCGGGTATGGTGACAATTTTTTCTTATTCAAGAATTTAAGTTGTTATCGTTGATTTTGTGTATAAAACTATAATATTACCAGATAACATTAAATGCTGCAGTTTGATTGTAGTTTTGTATTGATTATAGTTGTGCTGTCAGTTGGAAAGGATGGTTCACGCCAAACGCTGAAGAATTTGGCTCCGTTGGAATTTCGAGTCGTACTTTTACAGAAATATGCTCAGTAGATGTAAGCAACTTTCTGCTTTTACACTTTTAAAAAATATTGTTTTTTGGGGAAGTTACGTTAAAAAAGAATCGTTCGTCACCTTACCCTACAATTTTTAAAAGTTCAAAAAAAGAATGGTTCACTTTTAAAGCTGTAGGATTTAGCTCCGTTGGAATTTCGAGTCGAACTTTTACAGAAATATGCTTAGTAGATGTAAGCAACTTTTTGCTTTTACCCTTTTGAAAAATATTGATTTTTGGAAAAGTTACATTCAAAAGTCGAATCGTTCGTAACCTTACCCTACACTCCCCTAACAACTCTGGTTTTCAACGATTCAAGAAATTGTTCAGCAGCCTCGAGGCTGTTGAATTTTTGAAATTTCTGAAAGTTGACTTTGTTAGAACAGCGTATTAACAGCTGACTAAAATTTAACAATTCAACAGTTTAGGGAAAACTCAGAATATTCTGCAGCACTGTAGAACACATGTTTAGCCATTTACATTATGTTATTTAAATGTAAGTTAACATTTTATACTTTTCTCCCGTTCTGAAAAATATTTGAATATCTAATTTTAATTTTAAATTTATGATACATTATAGGATAAGTGTCCCCCAGCGAAAACAACTGTCTAGAAGATCCAAGGCCAGAATGAGAAATGTTGTGTGCATTTTAAGTTCAGCAATGTTCCCATTCTAGGCAGTTGTTTTCGCTGTGGCACACTTAGACTATATAATGTATCATAAATTTAAAATTAGACTTTCAGGATGATGATTATCTATAAACACATCCTTTTGTTATTTTTACTTTTTTTAAAAGCATGAAAAGAAACAGATTCTAAAATTAGCACATACAGACCGAAGCGTCGAGTACAAATTCGAACCCTTATACCCCAGTCCCACAGAGCACCATCCATCCCCCATCTCTTTGACGGATGTTCCAAAACTTGCCCAGTTATAGGGTCTTCCCACAGAGCTCCATCCACCATCTACCATCCGTTGAAGGGATGATCCGTAAGGTTTTGCCGTTCCGAAAATTTCCCTGTTATTCCGCCATCCAATTTTGACCCACGGGCTCTTTTATGCGATACTTAGGCGATGTTTTCTCGGTGCAACTCTGAATTCTTTCTCTTGACTGTGAAAATTGGAACGATGACTGCGAGAACAAATCAAATCGATGGCAGGAAAAAATTAAATAATGCTTCAGCTCATTGTTTTTTGGGTTTTTTTTTTTAATTTTTTGTAGTTTGTTATGAGCGGAAAAGCGTTCGCAAGCAGGTTGCTATGTAAATGTAAGCTGTTGTCCATACGTAAACATCAATGTTTGCAGCAAAGTGTCAGAATATGTTCTGCACTTCGTAAATATAACTAATATTAAATAAAAGTGTACTTTGTACTCCTATAAAGTTCCAAAGTTGCTATAAATTACCAAAAACAGCACAAATATGGTTTTGTTTACAAATTTGTCATATTAATATTGACTAGGCAGAGGCGTAGTAAGAGCGCAGTGTAGGGCACGGGAGGTTAGGCTCCCCCCAGTCAGCAATGTGTATGCATACTAGTTGTAGGATATGTTATAAACGTTCAGATATGTTTTTAAACCAGGGACCGTAATCATTATAAGTGAAAAAATAAAAATCTCCATTTAATGAATATTTTGTAAGCGAAAAAAATATCGCTCAGAAATAATGATTATTATGTGAGCGATATTATTTCGCTTAAAAATATCACTCAAAGTGCAATTACAGCCGTTCTGCACGGAATTTTACAAACTTTTAAATTTCTGCTTGTAGGTAGAACCACGGAGCACACGTCGAGTTAATAAAAGAAGGTGATTTCTTTGTATAAACTTTTTAAAACGAGGTTTTTAGTTGACATGAGGTATGCTTTAATACAACAAGTTGTATCAACCTTAGAACTTAGTCATTTATTTATTAGTAAAACGACTTAACAAGATGTTATGAACTATTCCACTTAGGTTGGATCTACATGTGGGCTGGGTGTTAGTGTGTTGGTCCACCGAGCTGTAAGCACGAGTTCGATTCCCACAGAAAGTGTTTTTATACAAAAAGATTTTTTTTGTTTTTTTAAGCGGTTTATACAAAGAAAATGTATTTTTTTCTTAACGGAATATGTGCTCCGTGGTTCTACCTACAAGAGCACATTTAAATCTTTGTAAAATTCCGCGTAGGACGGATGCAATTCCATTTTGAGTGATATTTTTGAGCGAAATATATCGCTCACAAAATAATCATTATTTATGAGCGATATTTTTTTTGCTTACAAAATAATCATTAAACGGAGATTTTTATTTTTTACTCAAAAAAAAAAAATCATTATTTTCGGTCCCTGTTTTAAACTATTTTCTTACGACAGTTTTCCCGAGTTGAAATCCCCCTTCGTTAATGTTGAGCTGAGCAGCTGCTCTTCAGTCAACTGTTATTGGATGGTAGATGGTGGATGGAGTTCTGCTTCAGTTGGAAGGCCGTCTTCAATAACTTCACTGTACACTTGCTGACCTGTGCTTTCCTCTATGTAGTCCATAAAATTGATTGACTTTGACCGCCCTAGCACTTGGTGGACCTTTGCATAGTGCATCCAAAGTGAAGGAGATCCGCCAGTCGGTCCTATATTTGAATTTTTTAATTACACAGGTACACAGCCAAAAATGTCCACGAACCATTTCCAGTTTTCCATGGTATTTGGGTGCTCCTGAGTAAGAGTCCCATACAAAATTATTTTCCATCACCTACAGGTTCCGCGGTATACCTAAGAATACAAAAAACCGATGTTTGCCGACATTTTGAATTACGTGGCCTATATAATAGGACTTACCTTTATTATTTTCGGTAGGACCTACACTCAATACATCACGGCACTACTAAAAAATAGTCTCAATCGTGAACCACTGCCCATGTCTTTGGAATTCGATGCCAAAGTTGAAACTCCCAAAATTTTCAAAATTTCTGTGATGAAAAAACAATTCTGAGAATTGAATCTTAAATGGAACTAATTTTAACTATTCTCTAAATCTATTGTTCATTGTATGCTTTAATTTCAGTTTAAAGCGTTTTCATGAGGACATTTTATTAGATTTATTAAACGAATAAAACCGATTCTTTTATTTTATTATCTACTCCTATATGCTGTCAAATTTCCAATAAGTCAAGGCAACCTATAGAATGCGAGTAAATATGTATCTTTTTATACCCTTGTACAGGGTATTATAATTTCAGTCAGATGTTTGCAACGCAGTGAAGGAGACGTTTCCGACCACATAAAGTATATATATTCTTGATCAGCACCAATAGCCGAGTCTATCTAGCCATGTCCGTCTGTCCGTCTGTCCGTCTGT